TGCAAAACCACAATAACTTGTAATTGGCTTACGACAGGAAGAAGCAAATGAGCTTTAAGTGCCATTTGATTATTCAGATAAAATTGAGCGTATTTGTCAGACTTCTCATTGTTACAAATCGACATCTCTAACCGAGCAAGACCGTGCTTTTCTCGTGAAATATTATTATGAATGCAATAGCAATGTACAGTTTGCTTTGCGAAGATATTGTTCAGCAAGAGGAATACACAGAGGGCCAATGACAACACAGAGTTTGAAGAAAATTATGGCAAAGTTTGAGGCCCTAGGTTTGTTAACTCTTTCACCTGAAAGGTGAAGAAAACCTGCTTCTGAGAAAACCAAGGAGGTTGTTGCATTAGCAGTGGAGGAAGCAACAATGGAAAGCACAACATGGTATGTCAGAAGTTGCATGTGGAATAAACATACCATGGATTACGTTGAACAAAATTGTCTGTAAAGTGCTGCAGTTCTACCCATACAAAATAAAACATGTTCAAGAACTTGAACTTAACGATCCTGCTGTAAGAGAATCTTTCGCTTTGGAATTCCTTGCATGGATAGAGTGGATGAACATTGGCCATGGAACATTTTGTGGGCAGATGAGGCTCTTTTTTACCTAAATGACGATGTCAACACCCATAACTGCAGGATTTGGGCCCAAACAAATCCCTCATGTTATTTACCCAGTTCCACTGTATTATGTTTGGTGTGGTATGACAGCTAGTTTCGTAATTGGACCATTTTCCTTAGAAGAGCAGTTGACAGCTGAACCTGTTACATGTACTATGGCTTCAGCTCGCTTAGCGTCAATGTTAAGATGTTTTGCAATACCTGAACTGCAGCAACGTGGCATTTTAGACACCCCGATTTTTATGCAGAATGGGGTCCCACTGCACATTGATACATGTGTCACACAGTTACTTAGGAAGCATTTCACAAATGAACGGATTGTAGGCTGACATTTCCTCACATCATGGCCACCCTAGTCACCAGACCTCAATCCCTGTGATTTTTGGCTATGGGGTTATCTCAAAAGCACTGTTTATCATGATAATCTAAACAATATGGCGGAATTGCAAGGTGCGATACACCAACAGAGCTGCTGTTGAGAATGCAGTAATACGTTTAACTTGCTTTTGGAAAATAGTGGATGCACATTGAATGTGCTTTGTAACACGTTTCAGAAATAACTAAACATATTTTAAACCCATGTCTTATTTTGTTTAACATTATTGCATATAGCGCCATTTCCCCGTCCTGGTGGTGAGTCTTTGAACATATTTTTTTTTTGCAGAAAATAAATTCCCATGACTTCCTTTACACGATTACCAATTTTGATAGCATTTGATCTGGTAGTTCTCCTTTTAGAACCATTTCAAAGTGGAACTTTAATTATAACCACCCTGTATATTAAAATTATTAATTTGATAGTATTTTCTTATACTTTAATAATGTTGATTCTTTTGCTTTTCTGAATAAATAATGAAGTAGAAGGCAATTGCAAAATGTTGGGAATGTTTGGGAAAAATGTGAAGCAGTTGAGAATCTTCCAAAAGGTAAATTTTCTTAAAGCTTGTTATATCTTCTCATATCTATGCATTTATGATGTGTTTCCAGATTTGTAATTTAGTGTACATTTTTCAAGCTGAATGCTCAAAATTCAAAAAGATATTAATTTTCTGTCTTAGACAAGTAACCTTCTTCTTTGTTATGCTTCTTTTTTGGAAGATGAAGGTTAAGATTATGTTCTTTTGTAGGCTTGTGCAAAGTTTTAATATATTTTTATTTATGGAAATATAGAATGCAGACATTTCAAAGAATGAGAAATACTTATGGTATTTAGAAAAGCTGGCTATAGACTTCATTTTCGTAAATCCTTATCTTAAACACCTACTTCAAATTATAAAGCTTCTTGTAATAGTTTTATGAAAACAGATTCAACAATAAGAGTAGAACAATTCAATACAAATAAAATTTTTTGCTGTCATATAATTATGGAAGAATGTGTACACGATTCTTGTGCCAATCTAGATATATGTTGTTTATGTCAATAATACTATCACCATTGTAAAGCCCAGTTGTGACCAGTGCTGTGTCTTGTATACAGTTAATGGCATCCAGACTAATCTTTTCATTTATTCACAACACACCAAGTAGATAATATACACTTTATATAAAAAATAACTATATTAGCAGGAATAGAATCACTAATGATATAATTTGTTTTACTCTGAAAGACGGTCTCTGACTAACTTTTTCCTTCGCCCAGAAGATACTGCTTTTAAGATTAAAATTTGGAGGACCAGGCACTACACCTTTCTTCTAAGTTTGTGGTTGGGCAGGATGTCTAAATAAAGAACAGAACTTTCCAGATTTATGTCAGAGGCTCCTGATTTCCGACTATACTCCTGCCAACCCGATTTAAGCATATTTCTCTCAACTTTCTCTTATCTTTAAAATTTCTCACAATTTTTATGTAGCTTGGCTTAATACTTCATTATTTGCACCCAAAAAATTATTTTTGGCATCTGAAAGTGCTTTGTTTTTCTCTAGGTTACATATAAAAGAAAACCAAAATCGTTTCATCTGTGAGATATGGCATGTTTCTGCTATGTGTGTGAGAGCATATGTATTGAAAAACATTGTGTTCCAGTTCTCTAATATGCATCAAGTGCTACTGCAGGCCATCTAGCGTATATTAACCAATGAGAGCAAAGCAAGATCGAGGTTGTTATTTCGTTTGTCTTGCCACTGAGTTCTCAGAGTTTCATGTGTTTTCGAGAAGCAGTTTAAGAAATTGCAGGCTTTTGTCTTAGTTATGTCTGAGAAAAAGGTAAAATACTCATTCGCTTTTCAAAATTCATACACAGATGACTTTCCTTGTGTCAAGGAAATGAAATAAGTTTGTGATGTCTACCATTTGATTTTGTGATTTTTCAATTTCTGACGGTGGAAGGGTTGATGCTTTTAAACGTGTGTACACAAAAACGCAAGGACAATATGAACTGTTTTGAAAAAATGAAAAATAAAATTTTTCTGTAGAAACATAGGACCCAAAAGTTATTAGAATGCTTGTTCTTCTGTATAGCAAAATCGTTAAGAAATATTCAAGGACCAAAAAGCTATTAATGCAGAATGCCTAATCTTTCCTATGGCAAAATTGCTAAGAAGTACTAAAGTAAACGGCTGCAATTGTTGAAGGAATGGAAATGAAAAATAAATCTTCGTTATTTGTTGCATTAAAATAGCTTCATTCTGCCTCTCTATGGATGGACCAATGCAAAAGTGTATCCAATTATTGTTTCTTTTTTAATTCATGGTCTTCAGAAATTCAGGGTAATTTATTTTCTGTTTCCATTTAGAAGGAAATTTGACAGGCTTTGATATAGCACATCTCATTATTAAAAACTAAAGGAAAATGCAGTTCTTCTGGACAATTGCATAGCACTTAGTATTGACAATGCAAGAGTAATTGTAGGCTTGAAGACTGTTATTGCATTCATGTTAAAGAAAGAAAATTCAGATTTGTGAATTATGAGGTGCACCTGTGTCTTAAATGTAGCAAGTGAAAACAGAGCAGCTTCCTTACCAATAAGTGTGGATGAACGCATTGTTGATATTTATTATTAACTTGAAAAGAGTTCTAAGAGGAAGGGAAAACATTGCATAATATTGAAATAAATAAAATTTTGAAACATGTTTGTACACTGCGCAACAAAAAAAAAAAAAAAAAAAAAAGGAGAGAGAGAGGGACTTCCATTCTACTTGGAAGATTGACAAAATTCAACTTGTGTTTTTCATGTCTTGAAAGCATGACTTAGGATATGTATTAGATTTATGTATAGTATTGTTCTAATATAGGTATCCTGGGGGAGATGGACATTTTAGAAATTACATGCCATTTTTTTTTCCATGTTTCGATTCTATGACTCAAATTGTGCCAAACTGCCAAGATTTGTGAAAATTGCATATTAGCTCTCAAAATTTTAGCTCCTTAATGTTAATTGATTTTGATATATATTTATTAATCTCTCTTTTTTTATTAAACTTGATTTATTAAACTATTGATTCTTCCTTTCATATTTCAAAATTTAGGTTCATTAAAAAAAATTGCCCATTTTCTATGATTTATTTAAAAAATTTGTATTTTAAAATAATTTTTATGGATTTTTCAAAAAAAATTTGAATTATAACCTATAAAAGTTTTGTCATCATTTTAAAGTAGATGTATTTCTGAGCAAACCTGCAAAAAATTAGAGATTTTTATTCAGAATTTCTTAAGATTTACATGAATCTACATTTTGGCACATTCTGAAATTTGGCATATTTATTATAAGTGATAATAACGAAAATGTAGTTTACATACTTTGTTAAAATTATTTGAAAGTATGAATAATGACTTTTTTTCTGCAATGAAGGAAAAGGAAAGGAAAATAGGTTGATATTATTCTTGGTGTAAACTGAAAAAAATTTGGCAAGATAAATTTTTAAATTTCTCACCGAAAATTGAATTGTAGAATCAAAATATGGGAAAAAATGGTATGTTATTTCAGAAAAAGTCAGATTTTATGTCAAAATACCTATGTTAGAACAAAGCTATATGTAAATCTAATATATATCTTAAGTCGCGCTTCCGAGACATGGAAAATGCAATTTGAATTTCGTCAATTGGCCCAGTAAAACGGGAGATATAGAATTGTCTCACTTTTTTTGGGGAGGGGCACAGTGTACATGCTGGTTATCTTTAGAGAAATGTTTATCTAGAACCCCTGACCAGTGAAACCCACTTCTTACGTTTTTTAAGGAAGAAGTAAATGCTTCTATAGTTAAGATAAAAGGTTTTATTAAAAGTTATAAAATACCTAAACTAATTGGAGATGTAGTGACCACTTCCACTGTTAAAAGTAGGTGCGAGAAAAAAAAAAAATCTGCATCGGTGAGCAATTTATTTGTCATTACTCAAAATAATGCTACAAAATATAAGCTGATACAGATTTCCCTCAAAATAAAAAAAAGAACAAATTGCTTGGCAAGGAAAACATTTTCCAATTATTGTAAGTTTATCTTGTGAGAGCGAATATTTATATTTTTGTCTTCAGTCCTTAACAAAGCATTTTGCTTTTTTGTACGCTTCATTTGATGTTCTTAACACAATTCTACATTGCAGAATTCCATTAATTCATGTTTTGCAGTGATCTGTTTAAAGACATTTATCAAAATTTATAAAACCAACCTTTGTTTTGTCTTCTAATTCTGTATATCATGTGATTTATGGTGAAATAGAAAGTCAGAAGAAAGATGAAGATTTGGTAATAGGTGTTGCAATTAACAGAATAGTGAAAGGACTTTCACAGATTGCAAGAAGGGCTAAATTTAGATCCAATATTAACAACTACATGCAGGAAAAATTTTTGTTAGCAGTAGCAGGTCTATGTAGCAATCAATTACTATGAACAAAGTTACGAAATTTCTTTGTTAATGAAAGCAAAATCTACCATTGTCCTTAACATTTGTATGAAAACTGATTAAATTATTTTTCTAATGAGAGGTACAAATAATCATTTTTTTTTTTTTTTTCAATGCATGTCAGTATTTTTGTACTATTTGCATTTAAGAATTAGTAGCCACGCTTTCCGATATTAATTACTTGCTATTTTAAGTTAATTTATTATCAAAAAATATATTTCTTCTAGTACAAGACAGTGCATTTTTATCATTTAAAATATCTTTTTTGTCATTGAGAAAATTCTCCTGATTTTTTAACATTGTAGTTTGTTAAGTATGCATTTTGATAACAAAAGACCTGGTACTCATAATCCAACATTACAACATTTGCATAACAAAATAATTAAGTACATATTCTTAAAAGTATTAAAAAAATTTAGAACATTACTTTTAAACTCTCTAATTGCTGATTTCTATAACATAATAAATATTACTAAGCAAAGAAGTATCTTGCTGTACATAAGCTTTAAAGAAAATTAAATTAATCTTGGTCACTAAAATTAGTGACTTTTTTTAGTCACTAATTTTAATTGTTTTTTGTCAGTCACTAAAGAAGTCTTTATCAATTGTCCATATCGTTAGGTATGTTAAAATATATATATATATATATATATATATATTTGTCCATGTAAGAAAAGCGATATTTATTCCTCTGTGATCTGGATAAGACATCCGTATTACCTTTTTTGACTCCTGGACAGTATTTCATGTTGATATTGTATTTTTGCAATGCAAAAGCCCAATGCTGTATTCTAGGTGGTTGCAGCACACGTTCATTAAGTAAGGTAATGGATTATGGTCAGTGTACGGTTCAACTTTAACAATACAAAAATCCATGCTTCAAATTTCTTTACACATGCAATAGCACATGCTTTTCTCTCAACAGTAGACCACAGTTTTAAAGCTCGAGTTAATGTCTAACATACATGGATTATGGGGTAAATGTTCTTATTGAATTTTTGAGATAAACATGCTGCAAACTCCCATTTGAGATGCAAGGAATCGCAGTGTATAATGAAGAGTTGTCCCATCAATTATACACCAGTCCCAA